ACGAGGAGTATCCAGATATGCTGATTGAATTGGTGTTTTGCCAGATACGAAGACTTCCTGTGCTCGAGCCGTTAAGGCACTGGCACAAACTATGACGTCGAGCTAAAATTTCGAGCTGACGAATAGGAGTCGCTGCTTAAGGCACTAGTTCGACTCGAGGAACGTCTTAGTGAGCGCGGAGCATGGGAAATGTGTGGTGCACACGATTCGACCCTTACAGAACAGGAGAGGCGAACCACACCATAGCACTGCCACCAGCAAATTCGCTCAGGTGGAAGAAGCCAGGATTCTTCCTCGAATTCTAATTAATACATCCTGCGCTGCTGGTGCAGTCTGAATTAGGCTTCCTACGTCCAGAAGAAATTTGCTCACACTGCCTTTGAAATACGTAAAAAGATGATCTCTGCAAGCGACCTCATCCGTATTTGATCCCACCCAATGTACTTTTGAGCAAAACGGACTCGTGGCTCCTTTGCGAGTGCTGTGTACATGTGGAGCAATAAAGTGTTGACTTCACAATGCAGGAGTGATGATTTACGCACGCGGTCAGAAGAGCTTTTCAATACATCAGGAGCCTGCTCTGTACGTGATTGTGGCACACCACATAGTAGGACCCAGCTGGCTAACCCCAACATTCTGATCCTCGTCTTCATGCCGTAGGACTCCATGCTGTTGCTAATTTTCCTGATTAAGTTGAGAGCGATTTACTTTTTCAGGATGTTGCGGTCACACACTGCACATCATTATCAGCCTTAATTTACAATTCATTGCTCCAATAAATGTGCTTCACCTAGCATGGCACTGCAGAACATACGAGAAAAGAAGAGCAACAACAATTCATCTTTAACACCTAACTTAAGGGGAACCTAAGGCCGAACCAATTAACCTTTACTTTTGACGCTATGTAATTCAGGAGAATCGATAAAATTACATGATTGTTTCTCTCATTTCCAGGTGTAGTCGATTTGTGCCAACGCTCCCATCAGGCATCACTGGTAAAAATTTGGAACGAAGGGGTTATTTTTTCCCAGAGACATTTAAGAGAAATGGAACGAGCCTTTAATTTTGGGACACACTGTAGGTTTTGATACTGTTTTTGTTGTCCACACTCAGTGATTAGCTGAAGGGACCCGACAGGAGGCCCGTCGCGTGACGAGAAGGCACATGGCCGGACAGGTCACCGGACAAGCAGCTGTACTTACTGTTACGATTAAATTCGGACCCTGTGTTTAGGTATCTACAGTTTTATGGCCTGCTTCTCTGAAGTCAAAGGCCCCCAAAGCTATAGCTATTGTTCTACGGTACATATTGACTCGAAACCGTGTACACGACTGACATCCATACTGGTCAGGCATTTGATGGAGGAGCATGCGTGCAACTTCGGACATTGCTGTTGAGTTGTTGAAAAGAATTTCGGAATTTTAGGGAATCTACTATACGCCCTTCTTCCTACGCTTCCATCAAATGCCAAATGGGCCATGCTGATCGCTCGTTTCTTCACAGGCTTTGGAGCGGGTAGGTTATCAACATGGAAAATTTTTGCTTGTCAGGTCGAACTGTGCAAAACTTCTTTTCCAAATCATGTGTTTTCTCCTTAACCTGCTTGCCTTACTGATGAAAATCAGAGTTGTACTTATGAATGTTGGACGCTGATCTGGCAGAAGCGTGTCTTGTCAGTGCACCAGTATCATTGAGAGAAAACGCAGGATCCCATCTCCCACTGTGTTCCCAACTGTTTATCCTGATCATAGTATTATGTATATGTTCAGAACAATTTATTTTTGTCATTGATAATCTCGCGGAGATGAATGCAGTCTTTTGCCTGCCCCTGAGCCTTCACACCTTATAATAGGCCTACGTTATCCCTTCTTTCCGCCTCTTTAGAGCTCGAAATGATCAAACAACAAATATTATATATTAAGTTGTTTGAGAAGATATAGGGTTCCAAGCGCTTCACGTTGAGAAATTTTGATATAGAAACTTGTCTCGAAATCTGCACTGCTCAATATCATTGGTAAACCTGTTACATACTCTTTCCTTCGGTGTCTTTGAACTTCTAAATGACTTGTTCTCTTGAGTTTTCATCGGTTTGAATTGAAGGTGGCAAGACAGTAGTTCGGGTAAATTTACTTCTATGTGTTGGAACTTTGACGAAGTGCAACGCAGACTTGTCTGGAATGGGACTGTAGTGCGGCTTTGAAGAAGCACCAATAGATGCGCAGCTCAACATTGGCTGGAAATATTTTGCTCCTGAGGTATTCTATTATGAACTTGAGGGAGACTAGCGGCATCATTTTGCGATTATTTTCTTGGATCTTTATAGAAGGCGACCCTCTGGTACGTACAAGCATCCAGCCCTATCTGAGTGTCGTTTACGTTTCATTTATTTTACGTCAACTGGTAGCATCGAAAATTCATTAGGCACTTACCACGGTCGCGACCAAAAGGAGCTACCTGTTTAACAGCAAGACCAAAATAAGGCCTAAAAAATTTTCTTTAGTGCGAAACTGTAGAAGTTTCAGATTGTTATGCCAGCTCGCAGGACTGCAAACTGTAAATATCAAGATCAGGTGGATTTCATACAAATCCTGTGTTTGTCTAAGCGCACCGACGAGAACAGTAAAATGTCTGTTCTGCAACCAAGGAGGAAGAAAAAACTTTTTTCCATAAAAGTGCTTAGCCGCACGCTTTCTTGGAGGCTCCGAAGAAGGCGAGTGCACCGAAACGTAGACCGAATTAATCATATACCAATCTCGGAGGCTTAAACAGAAGCAACCACAACTGTAAATTGGTTGATCTTAGCCGTTGACCGCTGAGCAGCTTATCTACTATGCATTGAATTTGAACAACATATTCAAATGATTATAACTTTCTTCAAAGTAGACGAATTTTCAATCTGAAAGCAGATTTGGAAGTTTTGTGAACAAGTTTTTTAACCCATACTGAAATTTCAAAAACCATTGAGAAATAGCCAGTTTAGATAAATTAACAGGAAAAATTTTTGGCGTGTGCGAGTTTCAACAAAAGCTCAGAATTACTTCGTGGGCTTCTTGGAAATTTTTTTAATGGCGTACCATTGTTATTGGAAACCAGTTCAGATCCGCACGCAACAGCGCGCATCACATGTGGTATTCGTTAGACTGGACAACTTGCAGAACATTAGGTCACCTGGCTGAGAAACCAATAGTAAGATGTTTCGGAAGATGCGTCAGATGAGCCCAAAGGTCATTTCGCAGAAGATTATCGCATACGCGCAGAACCATGCGGAATGAAACTGGTACTTATCATAACTTCGTAAACATTTAGCATTGATGTCGAGCTCGAATGATTTAGCGGTTTATAGAATTTCTATTTTGAGTTTCGGCGTTGGAGTGAAATATAAATAACTAATAAGCAAGTTCTGATGGAAATCCGTCACTGGTCCAGGTTCAGTTAGTTGAGCGGCGACATCCCTTGCTTCTTTTGGATAGGTAGGAATTGCATATTCACGTGCTAAGGACCTGGTTCGCTTCAAGTTGAGTGCACACTCATTTGTCTACTTTTATCAGTATAGTTTACGCACATTACCTCTTTCTGTCACCTACATCACCACCTGACCTTGATCGCTTGCCAGTGATAACTGCACGAAGTTGAGACATTTCAGACGCTCTTATCATTCCTTATCATTTATTATCAGTTCATACTGCTCACCATCGGTGTCCCCGTCCGATCCCCTATACCACATGTAAGAGCCAAGGTTCAATGTCACCGTGAGGGCCGCAACGAAACTGGTGGTATCCACACTTTGACGCCCCTTATCAGTTCTTATCAGTTGCTACCACTTTCTTTCACTCACCTTCTTGGTCCCCGCCTCACCCCACATAATATTCATGAGTGCGAACATCTTACTGTCAATGCGAAGGGCGTTGCGAAACTGATGACGTTGGCATTCCGATGCCCATTATCAGCCCTTATCATTTGCTATCACTTTCCTTCGCTCACCATTTGGGTCCCAGTCCTACCCTACATAATATTCATGAGTGCTACTCTCCACTGTCAACGCGAACGGCGTAACGAAATTGGTGACATCGGCATTCCGACGCCCGTTATCAGCTCCTATCAGTAGTTATCACTTCCCGCCACCCATCATCAGTGTTCACGTCCGGCCCCCTATATATCCTAGAAGTTTGAGCGCTCTGGGTCCAAAGGGAACGAAGTTATGAATTTCCGGTCAGACAGACAAACACACACAACCGCTTAGCCGGATTACATATAGTAGCACCTCTTATCATGCTTGCACAGCATCGATCACACTTTTATATTCGTCTATACACTTTTATATTCGTCCTCCGAAATAATAACCCTGCTCCATCAATCCAGCCTGACCCCTTCCTCCTAGCGGTCCAGATACGAACTACCACCTTGTTGACCTGGACACACGTCCTCAACTTTGACCCTGGTGGTACACTCTGAGTATGTAGTAGCTACTGGATATCGCTAACTTCATCCTACCATGACCATAGGTTTAAAGGACGAATTCACGCTGGAAAGGCAACCCATTTCAAATTAACCTTAGGGATGGTGAGTGGTACACGAAAGAAGGAAAACCATGAGAAACGGCCCAGAACCCGAGAAATGGGACCCCTTCCTTGCCCGTTGATTTGAGCATTGATGCGACTCTCATCGCTGTGCCCTCTTCAACACTACGCTCTCTCACCTATCTAATCACTCGCCACGTATAGACCTGCGGCGAGTGATCAGATGATCGGTGGGCGTGCACTGACCAGGATTAAACCTTAATAGGTCAACGAGGTCAACTCCTCCTGTGCAAATTGTGCTTCAGTTCGCACACTTAGGAGCTCCGCGGGTCCCTCAACCAGGTGAATTCTTCCTAATTCGATTTTCCCTCTGATCGTGAATTCGTCCTTTAATCATATGCATTATTAACGTATAATTAGAGTTTTTGATGCCATCGCGCTGACAATACAGAGACGTGCATAATTGTATTCAACTCAAGGTACCTTGGGAGTGCTGCGCAGTTTCATTGCCACTGCCAGTACTCGGGCAGGCCGAATACGAGCAGTATCCTTGGGTACAGCTGGTCTTACTACAGGACTTTCTATTGGGCCTGCCATTCAGGTACTTGCAAGCACTACTCTACTACTTCAGCAAAAAATTTACGAGTGACGTATGGTTTGTTTGCAGATTTGTTTTATTCCACTTGGGAATACTGGGTTCTACGTGGGACCGCTCCTTTTCAACGTGTACACGACGGCTGCGTTCTTTATGTGAGTATCCACTATTTCCATGCAAAACGACTTTTTTATGCCTCAACTTGCTGCATCCTTTTAATTGATGCTACATTTATATACGGTATTCTGTAGTACACCGATTACACAGTCAAATTGCACCGCAAACCCTGCAGTGCTGATAGTTGATGTACCTATTCATTCCAACTTGAAGTGGTCCTTCCAAAGTCCAACGAGCCGAACTAATCACAGTTTTGACAAAAAATGGCCTGTGCGCCTTATTGAATCCGAGCCCCTTTGATGGACGTTGATGCTCGAAACTAGTCAATAATCTCCGAGCAACTCCATCTCCCTTGCGTATTTCATGAAAAATGGGCCTACCTTGTAGTTCGGAACGATCGGTCGAAACTGTGATGAGTTGTTTCGTTTTGACCCGCGGTATACTTGTGTAGCACGCGACAACTCTTGCTACGCAGCTTTGACTGTCGTCGTAATTTATCTCCTCACTGACCCCTGATCGCAAACGTTTTGATTCTTTAGCTTTCATGGTGAGTCTGACCACATCTAATGCTCGAATCTTTTGAAAAGTTTGAATTCCAGGTTTTTTATCAGCATTGTTTCCGTTTTCGTGGTGCGTGCTATGTTTGTCGAAGACTACGTTGGCATTATAAGTGACGATGAAAAGAAAGGTGAGGAAATGGCATACATATTGGTCCCGTTCCACGAGCATCAAAATTTGATCTACTCTTTGGAAACCTGCGGTGAACGACGAACGGGAAAACGTCGACCTAGGAGTTCGAATAAGTCGTTGCTGAAAACGGCAATTTTCATTGGACATTGGATGTGCTCTCTACCGGATAAAAATGTTAAAGGCAGCGATTACGATAAGAGGAAGCGCATCGGAAAGCATGTGCACCACATGAAGCAGTTACTTGGCTGCCAAGGAAGCGAGGTGTGGCGCTTTCACGACGAAAGGTGCGCTGGTTGCTGAGCAGGACTTCGAAAGCACCTCCAAAAGCGATCCGCCCACCAGTTTACTTGTTGATTTGGACGAGGTGTGTGGCCAACAGCGGCACAAATGGAGCACCTCCAATAAAACGTGGTTTGGTCTGATCTTGATCAAAAAGTGAATGCCACATTTCGTTCAGAAGACCCATTCCTTGTCATTCCCAAATTTGATCGCACTGCCGTTCTACTTCTTTTCTATTTGTGGTGGATGCTTTGTGGAGTTGCTAGCACAGAAGGGTCAGTGATCAGAAACCATGCCTCCCGATACGGTAATTACAATATTGCCCATTTGAGACTAGCCGCTCCAATAACTATAGCCATGTATAATTGGACGAACGAGGAAGCGATTCTGTACAACGGAATCGTACAGGTGATCTCGTGTGGAGTGTCGACGATTGGATACACGGTTATCGGCTCTACACGTATTGGAACGTGGTCAGTTCAAGTTTATTCAAAAAAAAGGTGACGGAGCATTAGAAAAAGGGCGAACCCTCTCTGATGCGAATAGAAGGAGCGGAAGAGAATAATGAAAAACTGCTCAGGAGGTTTTTAGGGATCGACGCCTCGTCCTAGCCATGGGCCTCTTGGGCTTTTGGTTCTTTCACTTTTGCCACTATCCACTGCCGTTTTACGAAGGACCTCTAACAAGGCCTGCACTAAGTAAGTTTCGACTAATTCAAGACTAACTCTTTTGATGAAGCAATTGTTTCTTATTCCAGTGAACAGCACAGCATCTGTAGGTGGAGGTGGGTGCTTTCCCGAATACGAGTGGTGCGACTACACCCGAAGGTAGTATATCCTTGGAAACGTTGTGTTGTTAGCAGAACCTTTGTTGACAGGGTTCCGATGGCACTGTACTTCTTCAACTTCGCCGTGGTTCAAGGGTTCGCATATCCGTTGATATCAGCTCCTTCTAACACACTACTGTCAGAGATAATTGGCCCTCGGAAGCAGGTTTCCACTGACTATTAGCTCAGATTAGGCAATGAGTAAATGATATCCACCGAATGCAGGAGTTTTTAAGGGTACAGTTCAAGGACTATTCGCGTTCACCGGAAGCATGGCGCAGTTCACTGTTCCTATTTTTTCAACGTGAGACACATAATCACAATCGATAACAATCACAGCTTTTTACCTCTTATGGCGTCAGTCACCTTAGTATCACATTTTGTTTTAGGGCTTTATTCGAAACGTCTGGTTACAAGTTCATCATGGTATACCATCTCGCAGTAATTACTTCGGCGGCGTTGATAGTGTTCGTTCTACGAAAGCGGCTCGTCCCGCTTGAATTGACGCCTACAGTCGGAAAAGCGACAAAGTACAAAAGGGGAACATTCTACAGAATGTGAAGAATAATTTGCGTATGGATCACTGTGTACTCACTTGATCATTTTCTGTCAGACATATGAGAACTTATTTGGGAATGCTTGTGTCGACTCCCTGCTTCCCAACTGTTATATGATTGCGTCGTGTATTCAACTGCATTGTTGAAAAAATAAACTGATAGCACAGATTAAAGTAATAGGAGTTGCACCACAGTATAGAAAGTATTCAACGTTTTCTGTTCATCTGTTAATAAGAAAGTCGAAAAGGAACTGCAAACTCTTTGAAGGTTGTTACTATGCAGCTAATACGAAAGCGCATTGCCTACCATAAACATTTAAAAACAGTGGTGAAGGCTAAATGATTGAAGTGTTCTATTGTTTTTGTGCTAGGGAAGAAAAAGGTTTCGTGCACAACTTTTTCATCTGACTATGTGATCATTTCTTGAGCACCAGAAACTGTGATATCCGAAGCTGGCCAAAATATAGGTTGGAAGGAAAGTTCCTTAACACTCAATTCGCGCTCTTTCTGGATTTCTCCCGAATGCTCTGGAATCTTCCATGGGTGGTATATAGTAGGAGTGGACCGTGCTACGTACGGTGATCAAATCAGCTTTCCCAATAATGGCGTTTGCATGGCACTAAATCAACTTTTCCCGCCAGACACTCCGAGCGCTCATTCTGTAAGAGCTCCGCCTAGAGAGATCTGCCCACCAGAGGTGGTCAGGATCAGTCCCGGGATAGGCCTGGGCACGTTCTCTCACATGGCGGTTTCGGCTTGGTTTAAACGCTCCGCAGCGAAGACTTTGATCTTTCTGACGCAACACACGACTACTGCCCATTTTGACGTTTGACGGTATTTCCCACGGGTGATGATCTGTCTGGAGGATTGACGAGTTCACGGGGGGTTATTAAATACTTGTGTGCCTGAGAAAGACTTGCAGAAAGAGCTTCCGTCCTGAACGAAATTTATCAAGCGACCGGAGATCAACCTGTTTGTTCATCGGAACGATCACAACGGCGCTAACGATGCCCCAAATCTCGCTACAGTGCGCGGGATGTCTCGCGATTCTTCGAAGCCAAAGACTCTGAGCAGCCAGTGAAGACGGCGCGACTGCCCGTGTTTGTGCATATTCAGGTCAACGTATCTATAATACCTCTCTAAGCCTTCCTGCTCGCTTGCTCATTACCTGGAAAACAGGAAGCTCGACGACGTAAACGAGCGCAAATCCGACACCAGAAGGTTGTCCCGAAGGTTGGCGTAGTGTTGTTGTATCTAATGGTCAATATGTTATGGATCATTGAATAAATAAAGAATAAAAAAATATAGAGATATATAAAATTCTCGAGTGGTACATGGTAAGGATAACTGTTCCTTGCAAACCTAATAGAGTTTCCGTACCACATGTAGGCCCAGGCACGGCTCGATTTCGGACAAAGGGTTGTCGGAGGAAGTTTTCAGGTACTTGCAAGCGCTGTTTCCACAGAAGAACGCTATGAGGATAGTGAGTGGAGGAAAACAGGTGTTTATTGAGGTCCGGAATCTTATGTGTGTGGGGGAAGCGCGTTAAGTGTCTTGGAAATAGTTAGAGGGTTAGCTTTTTGAGACCCGCTCGACTCACTTCGCTAATTCATGATACGAAATAATTTTAACGCTAGTCGTAAGCATTGGATAGCTCCAAACCTGAATTGGAAGACCGCTCCCGCGCAAACCGCATCCCGATATCTTGGTCCTGCCCCGGAGTAGTGCTAAGAAGCACGCACGCAACATCTTTCGGACTCCGTGGTGGTGCCCACAGCTCATTTCGTTGCATTCCTATTGGCTCTCTCTCACGTTCAGCGTTTCGTTTTCATGCGCCTCTGTCAGACATTTATTCGCTTATCCATCAGGGAGATTTTAATGGATCTTGCTCGCGCAAGCGGTATTTGCAAGCAGGCGCGTGAGTGTTCCTAGTGGCATTTCCAACGATTTTATTCTTTATCTCGGGCTTGGCGGTCACTTGGTTTCCTCTGTCCGCTTTTACGCTTTTAGTCCTGAACAGCTTCTTCATGATTTTAGTTCCTTATCCTTGCGTCTATTTGCTTCTATGGTTCTTAGATTCAAGGGGCTCACGCCAATATGCTCGTTCTGAGGTACACTTCACTCTGGAGAGTGTGCAGAGAACCTTTTTGAAATCAGCATTATCCCAAATGACAATCCTTTTGGCGAATTTCTGCATCTATGGAGCTGTGTTTCGAAGAGGATGGATTTTTCGAGCGGAATTGGGTGGAGAGACTTCATAAACGGTTCTGGAGAACATCTTTGTGCTCGGAAGAAGCGAACGATTCAGGGGGAAAGCCAAACTAGGTTCCGTTAGTTCGCTTGAGCAGCAACAAGTAATTGGACAGGAGCTGAGTTTCACTGTGGCGTGAGCGGATTTTGGGTTTTCGGTGGTGCATGAAAGGTTATATCGAATTAGTTATGAAGGTAGCGTGTACAGAAAAATTACTCGTGGATGTTACGCGAGGAAGCAGATCGATAGTTTCAGAGTGTGTCTTATGATTAAAGCAGAATGG